TTCTGAGTTCAACTGTATGTCACTGTTGAAGTTTAGTTCAGTTGAATTCAGTTCAGTTTAATACAAATGTCAATGCTAAAGGACAACCCAATGAAGAGCAGTTCCACTAGCCGGAACCAAGCACGCAAAAAGTGCAGTAGCAATTGTAATAAATATTATTTTAATTGATTTCTTTCTTCTGCTTTAATTTTTTTGCATAATTTACACAATTCTCACTTCTAGATATAATTTTGCAGAATATATATATATATATATATATATATATATATATATATATATATATATATATATATATGTAGTTCCATCAGTCTGAAAAAGTAAGACGTCTAAACTAAGTTGTCAAGACTGTTACTTGCTTTTTAAAGAGGGTTGACTTTTGTGATCTATGGTGTATTTATGGTATATTGTTAAAGCTTAAAGGTGCTGTATGTAAGTTTTTGACTTTTCTAAAGCATAACAATACCATAATACGTTTGCAGATATTTAAGAAACATGCTAACTGAACATTCTTGTTTATCTGAAAAACGGCTGTCTTTGTTTTGGTCATTTAACACGCCCAAGGCCACTTTAGTCAATTATATTTCAGCAATCTGGATTGCCTTGTTGGAAAACTGTGTATTTCGTATTTCGTTCATTTAGTCAGGAAAGCTCTCAAAGTGTGTGTCCGCGACCTCCGATGGGACCTCCGATGGACAGAGACACAGATTCAGGCCCTATCATACACCCGCCGCAATGTGGCGCAAGGCGCGACGCAAGGCGCGACGCAAGGCGCGACACAATTACAATGGCGATCCAATTGCCCAAAAACAGACTGTTGACATGTGGAATGCTCTTACACCCAATTAACACATGCTGCCTACTGCCATCTAAAACCTTGTCTTAATTGAACTTTAACATTAGCATATTTAATAATCATTCCATGATTGCAAATCATTCAGATAATGTTCCTAGTTTAACACTTGATGGTTTTTAATGTTGTTGTTGTTCTAGACAAAAGTTATGTGGCTAATTTCCTTGATTTTCTTGAAGTGTTTTTTATACAAAATATAAAAATAATGATTTTATCTGGGTTGTATCTATATGGGGTCACCACAGCGGAATGAACTATATATATAATATATATATATATATATATATAAGTGTTTGTCCGCGACTGAAATGGGACCTCCGATGGACAGAGACACAGATTCAGGGCCCTATCATACACCAGCCGCAATGTGGCGCAAGGCGCGACGCAATTGTTGTTTGCTAGTTTCAGCTTGGCGTTAGAGTTTTTTGATGTTTTATGCCACGCTGTTTAAATAGCAAATGCATTTGCCGCATATGTGCACCCATAGGCATTCTAGTCTAAAAAAGAAGGAGTGTTGAGGCACATTGCTGGTGCGTTGCTATTTTAAGAAACTTTAATAGACTCTTCTATAGACCAGAACAAATGTGGTCTTTTGTCCAGCGCAGAGCGCGTTAGTTTTGCGCCTCGCTTACACATTGTTTAATACAAACAGGATGTACAGCAATTCGCAAATATCTTTACATATTAAAAATAATTAAAATATTTAGGATATATATAGGATATAATAAGTATATATATATATAGGATATAAATATAAAAGATTAAAATATTAGAAAAAATATAATTTTCTACCCTACATAAATATAAAAACCATACTTTCATGCCTTCTTCATCTCAGGGGGCTTTTTCAGTTATTCATAACAATTCGCTTTTGTATAATGTTATCATTATTAGCAGTATTATTTATTATATGCTTATTTATATTTGTTTTTATTAAAAACAAGCTTAGATTTTAGACATCTGTCAGGTTTTAGACTATATGGGGCATAGCATGTGTATTTGGATATAACTCAGTTTTTTGACCACACTTTGTTTTTATTGTTCATTTATTAGTTTGCTGGAAATTAGAACTGAATTTAGAAATAGTTTTGAAACAAATCTTTGCGCTTAACAAACAAAATTATTATTTATAGGCTAATATATGTCTGTGCGTACAAGAAGTTTCCCTATCCACAAGAGTGAAAGTAAACAATGAGGAACTCATCTGTCATTCTCAAGCTGTAAATGCTCTGTTTAACTGTTTTCTCTTTAGTGAAGGGTTCAGTTTTTCCACTTACAAAGTCCGTCAAGTAAATAGCAAATGCGCTATGGTGCGATCCAACTGATTCTTAAAGGTAATGGGAGATGAGACTCTGATTGGTTTATTCTCAAAACACACCTATAACTCATTAAGAAAATAAGCTCAACCCTTTTAGATCATGCGCCACAACGCAAAGTGGATTTTTTCATCCTTATATTAGAAAAAGTGGATTCCAACACACCCTTAATGCGTTTGCGCCTTGCGCTTTGCACATGGATTGTCAAAATAGAGCCCTCAGAGTTCCACATGAGGTGGCTATTATTTAGCAAATAATATAAATATTAAATGTAATGTAAACATTAGGTGAGCAGGTTACATTGTAACCCCGTGTCCTAACAGCATGAAGAGATTTGCAGTGATAAGAAATTTAACTGTTTGAATAGAGCACTCACTGCACACCAATAAAATGGTAAGGTTTATAATCTACATACTTAATACATATTAAACCTCTTTAACATTATTAAATGTACATGCTGAATCACTGATATGTGTTGGCTTGCACTGAGTCACAGTTCTAAAGTTCAGTTTCGCTCCTGTTGGTGTCATCAATCTGGCAACCTGCGTTTGCATGTGTTTTGAACCAGGCGTGCATTACCTAGTTCAACCACTAGGTGTCAAACTTACATACTGCAAGAGGATCAGGACAAAATGCATATAAAACAGAATGCCTAGCCGATAAAAAATGATAACTAATTGAAATCTGTTTGCACTCTTTTCTATTCTGGAAGGATGGAGTATGTACTATTCCAAAAGTGCCTTTTAGAGGGGCTCCGTGCAGTGATGCATCCGGCAGACAAATTCCCTACAGCATCATGATGAAACAGATCAACAGCTCAATATCAGGACGACTGTGGGATGAGAAACAGCGAGCTCCATATTATAACTATAAGGTACAGCATCAGTGTTATGTGTCTTATTCAAACTACTTACTACAGTATTCAAATAAATATCTGTAAACATATTCTAGTATGATTTCAAGTGACCAGTCTTTACGGATTTAAGGAACATACTTCAAAAAACTTTGATTTAGAATTCAATTTTTGTCTTGTTTCTAGTACAAATTTCTAAAAATTCATAAGCAAAACAAACCATCTTGTTATAAGAAATTATATGCCAAAATTAAGTGAGTTTTTCTTTAAAACAAGCTAAATAATCTGCCAAAAAAATCTGATTTTAAAAGGAAAAGCTAGATTATTTTTGCTTACCCCACTGGCAGATTAATTTGCTTGTTTTGAGGTTAAAAAAAAAAACATTTCATTTTGGCAAATTATTTCTTAAAACAAGAAAGTATTATTGGATCGTCTAGAAAATGCTTCTTCATATACGAAGTTTTACTTATTTGAACTAGAAACAAGACAAAAAAATCTAAGTAAGAAAAGCATTTATCACAGTCTGGATGCAATGCATTTTAGAAAGTCATATTCTTTCTCCAAAAATTAATTTAGTTTTTATTTGCAGGACACAGAAGGAATGGTCCATCAGGTGTGGTACGATGACCCAGAAAGCATTGCTCTGAAAGCTGCCTATGTAATGCAACATGGTTTGAAAGGAATTGGAATGTGGAACGGAAATCTCTTGGATTACAATGGCGATCCAATTGCCCAAAAACAGACTGTGGACATGTGGAATGCTCTTATACCCAATTAACACATGCTGACTACTGCCATCTAGGTTTTGCCATCTAAAACCTTGTCTTAATTGAACTTTAACATTAGCATATTTCATAATCATTCCATGATTGCAAATCATTCAGATAATGTTCCTAGTTCAACAATTGATGATTTTTAATGTTGTTGTTGTTCTAGACAAAAGTTATGTGGCTAATTTCCTTGATTATCTTGGAAGTGTTTTTTATACAAAATATAAAAATAATGATTTTATCGGGGTTGTATCTATATGGGGTCACCATAGAGGAATGAACTATTATACTATATATAAGCCAAAGGAAAATGAATGAATGATTTTATGTTGTCAGCAAGGGACGCATGTCATTTTTTAATCATCCTCTCTCATAAATCATCTTAACCTGCAATCAACTATAACTCAATAGGTTTGTTTCACCAAAACATGTTAACAATGTTTTAAAATGATTGCTCTATATCCTGACACAACAATTCATTTGGTTATGTGTACAGTGCAGGGAATTCACACTTAATCTGTAAACAGCCAGGCTAAACCTAAAAAAGGAGATGTTGGATTTTGCACATTAGTCAAACTGCAGACATCCCTTTAAAACTAGCTTTTCTGCTTTATATAAATGTAAATTTGCATTTACACATCGTTTAATAATTTGCAGCGAAAGCTGCAGTCATCTTATTTCTTAGAACACATACTCTACCTGACAAAAGCCTTGAAAAAGCATTGTCAGCCTATCCAAGTTTTGGTAACAACAAATAATAGCTTGACTTCTAATTGATCATTTGGTGTCAGAAGTGGCTTATATGAAAGGCAATAGCCACTAGATAATGCTTGTTTTACCAAAATAAGATATGATCATGTCTTGATTTTTAGTTAATTAGGACAATAACGTCTGACTTTTAGACAAAAGTCTTGTCACTTAATAGAAATAATGTACAGTATGGAATATAAAGTCATGGTGCAGTGCCAAAAGAATTAATATTGTGTATGACTTTCATGAGCCTGGGCGAATGCATCCATACAACTCAAATCACAATAAAGTCATCTAGAATGGCAAAGAAAGCATCCTTGCAGGACTCCCAGAGTTAATCAAGATTCTTTAGATTCATCTTCTATGCCTCCTCTTTCATCTTGGCCCAGACATGCTCAATAATGTTCATGTTTGGTGACTGGGCTGGACTGTGCTGTATTTGTGATAATTGAGATGCAGTTCAACAGATGATTCATTGGTAAAATCTACCTTCTGCCACTTTTCAAAATGATCAACTAGAAGTCAAGTTATTAATTGTTGCTCTTACAACTGGGATCGACGACAAGACTTTTGTCAGACAGTGTAGACTGCTTTCTTTACAACTGAGCCCTTTTTTCCATCAGTTCTGCTCTCAAGGCTCGTAGTTCTGTGGCTGCTTGCTTCCTCAACTAGACAAACGGGGAAAAAAGGAAAAAATTAAAAGCTGAAACAAACAACAGAATTGACTAGTGTTTTTTATAATACCTTGATCTCTGTGGCCAGTTTCATTTTAGCGTCGTCCACATTTTTCCTCAGGTTATCAATTTCACTGCTTTCCGTCATAATCTGGATTATTAACTCATTCTGTTAGTTACAAAGCACATTGTTTTTACTTTAGTTAAAATATCAAGACACAAATATTATATGTATATGTGTATATATATATATATATATATATATATATATGTATGTATATATATATATATATATATATATATATATATATATATATATATATATATATATATATATATATATATATATATATATATATACATACATATTTATATAACTTGCTAAGGAGTTCTACAAATGGGTTATGATTAATTTTACTGAAATGAGAAGCAAGGTTAGCATTTGAATCTACCTTTAACCTTGAGCTTGACGGCTTCCTTGTTTGGGTTCGGTGTTTGGCACCATCTCTGGCTTGGAGTTGTTGCAGCATTTTACTGTAGAACGTGTGAAGTTCCTGCTGTATTCCTTTAAGCTTGTCCTCTAGACTAGTTGTGGATTTCTTAGTGTCAAAATATTGCCTCTTCCACCTGTCACGTGCTTCAGGGGGCATACAAAAAAGGAATCATTCACACACTCTATAATATTCAAACAAACACAAATCAGACAAAATTCAAGAGAGAAGGAAAATCGAAAATAATATGAAAAGCATAACCTAAAGATATCCAAATTTAAGGTGTACTGTGCAAATTAAAATGAAAACCCTCAAAACATCTTAGGTTTTGCTTAGAATCACCTAAATGTTCTTTTTAAACTCTGGAACAGTTTACCATGAGCAGATGAATCAAAGGAAGGAACATTTCAGAGTACACAAGTCCCATTGTGTTTTTTTGAAAGCTACATACACCCAAATCACACAATCATGAGGGGGCAGGGGTGGGGGGTGTCTCTTCACCAATATGCCGCATTGTGCAGCAAAGTGGAGCCACAGGACAACGGCGCCAGTGCACTCACCACACAGTGTAGTGGAGAGATAGTGATACAGCCAATTTGGTGGATGGGGATGATTAAAAGGCCATGATCAGTGAGGGCCGATGGATGGAATTTTGCCTGGACACTGGGTATGCACCCCTACTCTCTACGAAAAGTGACATAGGATTTTTAATGACCACAGAGAGTCAGGACCTCGGTTTAACGTCTAAACCGGAAAACGGCGCTAACTGACAGTATTGTGTCCCCTTCATTATACTGGGGCATCAGGACTGACACAGATCACAGGTTGAGCACCCCATGCTGGCCTCACTGACACCATTTCCAACAGCAACCTAGTTTTTCATGCAGTCTTCATCCAGGTACTGACCAGCCCAGCTCAACCATCTTCGAAACGGATCAATATGTTTAGGTGGGCTTAAGGATGGACATTCAAATTCTGATGTTTTAGAATTTAAATTAAAATTCAGTAAATCGCCACCTCAAATTTTCATTTTCTAATTAGATTAGATTGTATATTTTACTGCCCTGTCATCTTTGAAATAAGTGTATACTCTGTCCCTAAAAATGGTTTGGGTTTAAGTTAAGGTCACAGTTTTTTACTACTTGCTTATTAAGATATTAACTGTTCATTAGCAGTTTTAAAGTATATGATCATATTCTACAACAGGTGTGACCAACCCTGTTCCTGGAGATCGAACTCCCTGCAGATTTCAGTTGCAACCCATATCAAATACACCTGCCTGTAATTATCAAGTGCTGTTCAGGTCCTAATTAATTGGTTCAGGTGTGTTTGATCAGGGCTGAACTTTGCAGGAAGGCCGATCTCCAGGAACAGGGTTGAGCACCACTATTCTACAACCTACCCAAATCCTAAACCCAACTTCTAACCTACTAACTATTATTAAACAGCTAATCAGTAGTTTATTAAGTTGGTAGTGTTAATAAATGATTGGTTAATACCGTGAATTGTCACCTAAAGTTTTACCAATTTTTGTACTGATAAATATTATCTGTCTGTGGATAATAATCTAGAACAGAGATGCCCAAACTAGGGCCTGCGAATTAAAGTTGGCCCATGCTACCCTTTGATTTGGCCCACCATTCCATTTGAGAAAAGAAGGAGATCAATGGGAAGGTGGTTGGGGTGAAAATCTCTGACCGAGATCCATTCATTTTCTTGTCGGCTTAAGTCCTTTTTTTAATCCAGGGTCACCACAGTGAAATGAACTGCCAACTTATTCAGCACGTTTTTACGCAGCGGATGCCCTTCCAGCTGCAACCCATCTCTGGGAAACTCCACACACACACATACACACACGCACACACACACACACACACACAAAATATAGAAGGCAATGCACAAGACATTGGCTTGCAAATCAAGGCAAAGGCATGTGCAGCTTAGTGTATTAAGCATTGAATTCCATTGTGTTATTAATATGACCGTTTATGTTTTTACTAATAAGTTCATCATATTTCTTTTCTAAATATACTGCATTAGTTAATAAAATTTAAAATAATGATTTGTAACTTTTTTTAAATATTAGGAAATTAATTAGGAAATTACTCATGAAAACTTTATGTAATACAATTTGGTATATTTACCTTTGGCCCACAGCCCTCAATCATGTTTGGCCCTTCATAAGAAAATGTTTGGGCACCCGTGGTCTAGAACAGGGTTCACAACCTTTTTTAGTCTGTGACCCCTAAAATAACAACGCCAGTAACTCGCAACCCCAAATATCCTCCGAGGTGGTCATAAGTATAGGCTACAAACTCAAAATGGCTCAAACACACCAATAGTCCCAAGTCTGTTTTTTGTTTAATTTTGGAGAATGCCACTCTGAGATCATCATCCATGTTCAGTCGTTGGATTTAATTTTATTGTATGCGAGTGCCGTAAAGGTGTCAAAAGGTTTACCCTGGTGCCATGAAATCAATCTGCAGCATCTGACCCTATTGCTGTGTCTTTAATCTAATGTAATGAGACCCCAGGGGCCACAATCCAAAGGGGAAAAAATGTGTGTTGTTTTATAAGTATTAAATACTATTATTATTGTCTCTAGCATATGGACAAAATATTCTAATAGTTTCATAAAATGAATAAGATTTTTGAAAATCACCAAGCGACCCCCACTTTGGGAACAACTGGTCTAAAAGGTATATGCCAGAATGGTTAAGAGTCATGAAAATGTACATTCTAGATTTACAGGGTCTTAAACTTAAGCCCCATGTTGACCTGCAGGTCAAAATGACCAGTGACCATTATAAGAGCAGCAGTGTTTTTTTGGGGGGGGTTTTTTGTAGTCTGACAACTTTTTCTAAAATGACAAAAAATATTAATAAATACTGCTATAAACTTTTTACATCTATACATGTATATTTAGCATTGAAAAATGTAAACATTTAACTTAGCAAAAAACAAGTGGTGGCCTCTAATTAAACATTGATAAAATACTGCCCACTGACAAGGGAAATGCTGAACATTCACACAAGGTTTGTGATTATTAGCAAAACAGATATGAGAACGGAAAAAAAAAATTTTTGAACTGAAAGCGGGTCATTTTAGACTCAGGACGAAAGAATTACAGAAAATTTTAAAACCCCACAAGGGGTTAAACTCCACAGAAATGCTTTGACGGGAACTGATGCAACACGTATTTACATTGCACTTCACATAGAAGCTAAGAGGTGTACATATTTGTTATTTAAAGCCATACCTTGGTTCCTACGATGTCTGTTAAGAGCTAAAAGCACTCTGCCCTTTTTCAAAAGCATTTGTCTTGTTTTTTCAAGCTCTTTCTTTTGCTCTTTGAGTAGCTTAATTTCCTTTTGATACTCATTGCCTGAAAGCATAACATTTTAAGCATGGTATTATAAAACAAGAATGGCAAAAGCATCCATTAGTAACCCCTTACTATTACTTGTAGTTGTTTGTGGTGTAAAAAATTCCAAGGAATAGGCGGACAGTGGAGAATTGCTCTCTGCTGGTATTGGAGAGTTTGGTCGACTCATGAGAACCTGTAAAAACACATAAAATACACACTGAAAGCTTCTTACAACAATGTCAAGAACACACTTTTCAACAACCAGCTGTGTGAGGAATTTTACTCAGCCACTAAACTCATGGTGTCTTTACAAGAGTGAGGCATTTACAGTTGTGTAACTTCCTGCATTGTCTAGGCGATCTCTACTTAACCTTCAGAAACTCTTAACAGGGTCAGCTGAAATTCAGAATTTGAACTACAACACTGCATTCTGTACAAAACTGGAATGATAAATATATTAAAACAATGGATGTATCAAATGTAATATGAGACAAATATGACGATCCCTTACCACATTTTCTGTTTTTCCTTCGCTTGATTTCAGTGTCAGAGAACTATTTAATTTCCTAGGTACATAAAATAAGTTAGTAAAGGTAACTAAATATTCCATGTAGATAATGTTAGTAACCTATACTTACCGGCCACTTTATTAGGTACACCCTAGTACCTGGTTGGATCACCTTTTGCTTTCAGAACTGCATTAATCATTCGTGGCGTACATTCAACAAGATACTAAACTTTTTCCTCAGAAATTTTGGTCCATATTGACATGATAGCATAACATAGTTGCAGCAGATTTGTCTGCTGCACATCCATAATGTAAATCTCCAGTTCCACCACATCCCAAAGGTGCTCTATTGAACTGAGATCTGGGGACTGTAAAGGCCATTTGAGTGCAGTCAACTCTTTGTCATGTTCAAGAAACCAGACTGAAACAATTTGCCCTGTAAGACATAGTGCATTATCCTGCTGGAAGTAGCCATCAAAAGATGGGTACACTGTGGTCATAAACGGATATACATAGGACCAGTCTGGCCATTCTCCTTTGACCTCTAGCATCAATACGGCAAGACCAGCCCATCTGGCATCAACAACCATGCCACATTCGAAGTTGCTTATCACCTTTCTTCCCCATTCTAATGCTCGGTTTCAACTGTAGTAAATCGTCTTGACCATGTCTACATGCCTAAATGCATTGAGTTGCTTATTTTGTGATTGGCTGATTATAAATTTGCGCTAACAAGCAGTTGGACAAGCAGTTGTACCTAATAAAGTGGTCTGTGAGTGTATATTTCAAGTCAACTGACTTTGACAATGAGTAAAGGGCAAAAGAATCAAGATACCTTGTCAGGCCATGAGTATCGTCAAATGCCTCCAATGCCTGTGAGGCTCCCGTGTTTTTTGCATTCCTTTTAAAATAGCGTTTCTTTTTTGCAGTTGCATTCATTTCTACTTGAGAAAAGCCTTCCTGCTTGGCAAGTTTTCTGTCTGCATTGAATAAATAAAACACAAAGACCCCCAAAATGATTAAGTATTTAAGTAAAAGAAAGTGTTGATTATATTAAATGATTTGTAAGGAAATTTGCCCTCAACAAAAGGATTTTGTAATAATGATAATTATCGTGCTGGAATATTATTATTAATTTGAGCACATTGGTTCAACAGTCATGGAGTACTCTACTAATAAACTAATTTTACTACAGCTAGATTTGAAAACCCCAGAAAAATGCTGCACTAATCATTGGTAAATTCAAACTTAAAGTAGAACATAATGGCAAAGTACCTGCTACACTTTAACTTAGAAGTGTTATTTAAACAGTATTTTCTTTGAAGGCAAAATGTAGCCAAATTGTAGCAAAGTTCTCTGTAGTGCAACCAAATGAATAATCAGTAAATAGTACATTTCGCCCTTATGTTGTACAAGAGGCACTACACAAGCACAACTGGTTTTCAAGAGCGATCCTGCGCTAAAGTTCTTCATACCATGCTGTTTGTTTATGGACTCCATCTGCTCATGTGCACTGTATGTTGGAAGAGGAGTGTCAGTGTATTCTGCATCTTCATCACTCTCCTCCTCCTCTGCCTCCTGCATCAGGACAGACTGCCGAGGGCCTATATTAATCGAAGGGAATTTAATGGGCTCTTTTATATTGGCAGGTGCACATGTTGGTCTGAGCAAATTATGACTGTGATGGTCGGTGCTGCTAACTAAAGTCTCAGGGCTGAAAGTGCTAGAACAAAGATCGCTGTCGTTCTCTAGCACAGGCAAAAGGTAGATCTCAGGAAAAGGAGCCTAATGGGAGAATACAAATACATTTCATAGTATTTTTCATTTGACAAACAACATTTTGTTTGTTTTAGATAGTAAACACTTACAAAAGGAGGAGTAAATGATTTTACTGTCAGTTCCCTCTCTTGCCTCAATTTGACCTGTGATTGAAAATATAGTTAATTTATTTCCACTTTATATTTTGTGATTCTCAAGGGCAAATGTGCATTGGGCAAATCAATGGGCAAATTTTGCCAAATTCCATTGCAATTTAAATATTCCTACCTTTACATATACACTGTAAGAAATGTGTAAATTAAGATTTTCCTTATTTTGTGATTTACAATTTTTTTTTATTTTATTTAGGATTGTGAATTTCATTATGGGACCTTCATCTCACTACTGTCAACTTTTGAAAGTGCATTGTATTGACATTTTAGTTATGTTGAACTAATAATATATAAAGATTTAAGTATGTAAAATAACAGAAAATGTACAGGGAGTTTACTACAAAGTTTTGGTAGTGTAATATACAACACCAACCCAGACAATATATCAGTTTAAACTATTAAAAATGTTGATAAAACTTTTTTAAACTTTTCAGGGTTAGAAGTTGTTGAAATAAAGATCAAGGTCCCAAAATGCAATTCAAAATTCAGAAATAAATGGGGAAAATTAAACACAAAAGACAGAAAACTACTAATTTCCGGATTTTCCTGCAATTTATCTGCTATTATTCATCTACATAAAAGTATATTATTTAGCAAAGACAGATACTTACCAATGCAAAACTTCTGCCAACACATTTCAAAAAAATGTATTTCTCAGCAATCCTGTCAAGCCCTAGGATTGATCCAAGTTCAGATCTGAGATCCGACAGGCTCGCTTCTGAATCAACTCTGAGACAAAACCCAATATGAATGACATATGAAGACAGCTCACCAAAATAAAAAACACTACAGTAATTTATTGTAAATACAAAAGTTTTTGAACCATAAAGTGTATTATACTGTATATTATACTTACAACAGTTTGGTAATGAATGCTACAGCATGTAGTATTAACTATAATAACCAATAAACTATGACACATATTGCAGTATACTAGTGTAAAATTGACATATTTACTACAGCAATCTGATGTTTTGTAGCATATATAGCTGCAAAGAACTAAGCATACTTGAGTATTTTAATAATTGTAGAATTGCAACAACAGATATCCAACTACTTTAACCTTTCAAAACGAGTATTGTATTAAAAATAAATAGGTATTTTACATGAGGGTCAGCACATGGTTCTAATTTTGTATTTTTGAATCATATGTGGGGATTTATAAATACACATTAGGCTATTTTTTAGAGCTTATCACAATGTCCATCTTTGTTACAAAAAAGTGAACATAATATGAAACGTAACACTATTACATTGTAGGCTATTAAATGTAAACTTTGTGCTATGCTCAAATTCAACACAAACACTTACTGACACAATTCTTCTGTGAAAGCGGCTTCTTTACCAATACATGTTCTAAAGAAAGGGTTATTAAACAGGTCGTGACAAATAGTTCTTCTCATTTCCCTTATTAAAAGCGGTATAGCCTACTAGCCTATTTGTGGTCAACGTAATCCAACTTAAAAAATATAATAATTTAAACAATGACGACGAACTATCACCAAACTCAAGAAAGTATCTGACCTAATAAATCCAGCTGAGATGAACGAGTCCACAGCTGCAGCTGATACCTTATTCAGCCTCCGATCAAACTGATCTTCAGGTACAAAAAACACGTGCAGTTCCACAAGCTTCATTAAAAAATAAAACAGTAAAACACATAGGATAAAAACTCTAGGCTTAAATTATCTGTCGTTATTTAGAAAATACCTCTGTGATTTCAGTCTCCTTGCCTGTAAACCCGCTCATGGTCACATTGATTCAGCAGATGATGAGTGTGCAGCGTGTGTGGGTGAAGTGCTAAGTAACAGTATCTTGAGTTCAAACAGTACCACGGGGAACAAAAAAACACTCATAAACCCCCCAGTGTTTCAGGACATTGTGTAAACGCTACCATGTATGAATGTGAAGACGACTGTTATAACAAACAGCTAAAATAGGCTTTTATTGTAATAATATAATCCCAAATAATATTACTGACGTGATGGCATTTCTGAAGAAGTGTATACTTTAACAATTTTGATAAAATTTTTAAAAAGTATGTTTACATTTTATTTTCTGCACCACCTTATGCACAACATGGTAAATGGACAAGCAAATGCCTTTAACATTCAAGAACCAATGATGTGCTATTACAATTGAAAATTAATTATTGCTGCCTGCAATAGAAAGATATTTTTAACAAAATAATTTTGAATCTGTCTGCCAAAAAGTTTTATAATTTACTTTGCACTAGTGTTGAAGTATGAAGTCAAGTATAAAATGTAAATGGGTTACATTTTAATTATAGGTTTATGCATGCGCATCTCTTTACACTCACTTACTAATTGGATGATTACTAATCATCTGAGGTGATAGGCCAACGTAAAAAGTGCCTAGGTATTGGGTAACGAACAGTGTAAAAGCACCATTCTGTGAGAGCATTATTAGATTCATTACACTCAGAAAAGTGTGGCTGACTTAACAGCAGTGGGGGATGACAAATAAAAAATAAATAATCGAATATACAGTTTAAATTAGATTTTTCTGGTTAATACATGTTAAAAATTCTAATACTTTTTCTGGTGTCACTTGTTAAAAATGTCCTTAAGAGAGTTCTCATTATAAAAAGTCTTTCTGGAGTCATTAAAAGCAGGGCAGTCCAGTAAAATGTGTTTTACAGTCCATGGAGTTTTACAGAGCAAACATTGGGTAGGGTCTTCATCTTTGAGTAAAAAGTTATGTGTTAATCTTGTATGTCCAATACGTCATCTGGTAAAAAATTACTTGATCAGCTCGTTTCTTAAAATGTCTTATACCTCTGTGTGTAATTTCAGGCTTGATTTCGTGTAATTTATTGTTTTCCAGAGTATCCCACTCCTCTTGCCACTTGTTTAAAATATAATTGTTAATAAAAGGTCTCATCTCTGATGGAGAAGTTTGACATTTGTTCACAGCTTGTTTTAAAGCAGCTTTAGCAGCTGTATCATCTCGTTCATTCCCTGAAAGTCCAACATGTCCAGGTATCCAGCAAAAAATGATATGGTAAAGTTTGTTTTGTAGGTGGTGAACTTTAGTTAAAATATTTTCAAGCAAGGGATGATCACTCTTTGAAGATTCCATCTGTTGAAGACATGATTTAGAGTCTAAAAATAATGTTTTTCTTTTGTTGTGTACTTTTTTATAAACTCTAATGATAAAAGTAGTGAGCGGGCTTGAGCTGTGAATATGGAGCATTCTTTTGGCAGCCTGATTCCATGACTTTGTTCCCCTGTCACCATTGCTGCTGCTACATTACTTTCCATCTTTGAGCCATCTGTGAAGATTGTTAAGTGTTGAGATCTTTTCCCCTACTAAGTTTATTCTAAAATGGAAATTCTTGAATCACAATGACCAGAGAAATTCTTTTCATTCAAATTTCTTTAATTAAAATATCAGACGTCCACAATGAGTCTTTAGGTCTTTTAAAGTTGAGTTACATTTTTGCACATTTTAAAGCATTTTGGTAAATGGTGAGAACAAATCTTGCCTAAAACTTCACCTAAACACACAACAATTCGCATTTTTAACCTTTTCAACAGCCCTTTTTTTTTTTTTTTCAAAATTTTAGCAAGAAAATACAATGAGGAAAATAAATGTCTTTCATTTATCATGCCTCAAAACAAAGCAAGCACAAATTTTGTACAGCCAGACTATAAATGTATGCATAAATTGCAAGACTGTGAAACAGAAACTACAGAGCTGAAGTTTCAATTCAAGTTATTTTTATACATTTATGAAACCTCTACACAGTTGACCATTGTTGCCCGTATTTTCCTCAGAGATGGAATTTTCTTCTGCTGGAGTCCATCTCATGGCGCTGAAACATAACGCAGAAGTTAACAATGCATGACTAACACATAGTATAAATTACTGACAAATAATAATCATTACATAACCAATGCAGGGCTACGGATTTGGACAGGTTACTTTAACACTTGTAAAGTACATGTTGTTATCTGCCAGTGCAACTGCATTTGTTAGCGGTGGCTGAAACCAATAGCTATGTTTCTAATATATTGAATTTAACTGAAGTATCCCATAAAACATCTGCAACGTCAAAAAGAACTAAATCGTCACTTGATGAGAAACAGGTACAAAATATCAAAAAGAAAAATAAAATTTTCAAAGGTAGGATAAGCCACTGTGGCAAATTTTTAAAAATATAATACATTTCTTGCATCTCAGAAGACAAAACACAGTGAACTCGCAGAGGCTTTTGAAGGCTTGAGACCACTTTTTGGGAGTGCAGTAGCTCAACGCAGTTCTGGGAGGTAATAATATCAAACCCCTTTTTTTTAGATTGACCAAAACAGCATTTCAGATCAATGCTTCACAGAAGTTTGAAATATAGTTGCAGTGGTAGCCGGATTAAAACACCTTTTACCCAGAGCACATAAATGACCAACTACAGGCGACAAACAAAAAATAATGTGATTTTTACAGAATTTTTTTTTTTTTATTGTTACTCTCTCAAGTTCAGGTTGCTTTATTGGCGTGACATTTTGTACAGTATGGCCAAAGCATTTTAGATATGTATAAAATATGTAATATATAAACATCATCAAATTAATAAAATATACTGCAAATAAGAAAAAAGGACTGAAAACAGAAATAAAAACAGACAGTATCTCTATAAATCACAAGAGTAAAAAATGTAAACCATTTAAGACAAATGAGTTAATTAACCATTTCTAACGGTATACAAATATTTTGCTGCCAGTGTAGATACCATTTTGTCCTCTGAGTATATAGTGACGTTTTGAGTCATTTATATAACAGTGTTGGGTAAATTAAAAAAAATAATAGATTACTAAAATAAAAATTACTACTGTAAAAATGTAATCATCACTAATTACTTTATGTAAAATGTAATCAGAATACTAATTACTTTACTTTGAAGTTACTTTTAAAACATAAATATACCTATAAAAACACAAAATAAACTGCAGCACTTTCAGTACTTTAATATTCACTGAAAAACATTACAATGGGTTGATCACAGCAGCTTAACATATTTAAATTACTTAAAGAGTTCGGCCTAAACCGGTTTGTCTTTTTTTTTTAAACACAGAAGGAGGAAACTGGATACCTGTAGCCACGGACATCCATAGTATGAAAAAGTACTTTTGTGTTTGTCTGAGGTAATTAGTCTACCTAAATGTGTATATTCCAAAGTATGAAGCTGATCGATTAGTTCTTGTCGCGTGACTCACATTTCCCAGGCGCACCAGTTGAAACACACAATTGACCCTTCGCTAAGCCACACCAAAAAACCGCCACCCACCAATCATGGCAAAACAACCGTAGCTACGCGCAGGTGGCCCGTCAAGCTTGAGCGTGTACTCATACTAAAAGTGTTGATACTATGATGTTAACAAATATTACAGAAAATCTAACCTTCTCACCTTAAACTACTGTCAACTAGGCTTGCCACGATAGATGGTGCTGACATCACTTTTCCACCGTGACACCGCCCCCACATTTGTTTTTTTAAAGTATTTTTTTTTTAATATTTATTTGAATTAAATAGAATATATAATTCTAAATAATTTACTAAATGAGAGAAATTATTTAAGACGAGAGCATGCACTATAATTATAATCTGAAGATAGCTAAAATGCATTTTATTTCATTATCACGTGAGGAGAATGAAAGGAGTCGAATTTACAGAAAGAGAATGGCGGACGATTTAGTGTCAAAAAAAGCGCCTGTTTAGTGTCAAAAAAACTGCCTGTTTGTCAATATTTTGGGTTCAAACCAAATGCAAAAACAGAAAACATTAATGAGGCAATCTGAAAACTTTGTCTGACAAAGATGGCAGCATCTGGAGGAAACGCAACTAATTTATACATTAAAAAAAGTTAATTTAGATGAGCCAGTATTTTAAAAATTGCAGTAAAGTAACTGTGATGTGCAGCCACACATTGAATCTGAGGTCTGATCTCATCTCCCTCTTACACTGTCATTCAGACATTGATACAGAAACCAAGTCGCAAAACTGATGCTGGTACCAGCTGACAGGTAGAATAGCAGAAGCCTTTGCAAAATCTGTCAAAATACAGCACTGAAATTAACAGGCATAAACGTCTGAGCCAGAAAGTCTATCTGTAGGATATCTGTCAAAACGCAATCAGAGCCAATGTTATGTAGAAGTTGTGTCGCCTAATAATTATTTTAATTCTAATAAAATGAAAACCAAAATAAACAATTCATTGCATTTTTTGCTTGATAAAAAATATACGGAAACAAACAAAATCAAAAGGTGGCTAGTTTGTATTAATGTCTTTTAATATTAATAAAAATATGCTTAGCCACCAATAGGCAAGCCATTCAAAAATATAATAATTATATTTTTATTATAATTATAAATATAATAATTATATAATATAATAATTTTACTGTGTACTGGGTCATAGTCTCTATTTTAAAATAAAAACTAAATGTTGCATGTCTCACTGTCATTTAAAATATGCAATTCATAACACCAGGGGCCTCATGTATCAACGCTGCGTACGCACAAAAACTTTGCGTACGCCAGGTTTCACGCTCAGTATCGCTCACGTTTGGATTTACTAACAATGAACTGAACGTGGGAATGTGCGCAGCTTCACGGCAGCTTTCTGGCAGGCGTACGCACTTTTTTTGTGCGTGTCTGTTTTATTTCCATTGGCGACTCCTAGAGGCAGTTGTGTTAAATTCTTCTCTACAAAGTGTCTGAGCCTTGCAATGGCAGCTGTATGAGACGGGTTCATCTAGCAGGTATGTAAGGTTTCCATACCATACAGTTGACCAGCTAAACATTAAAGCACAATTTGCAGCAGTCGCCTGTTTTCCCAATGTAATCTGAGCGATCTACCGCACGCACATTGCTATAAAGACACTATCTGAAGATGAATTTGCATGCGTGAATCAGAAACATTTCCATTCAATAAATGTGCAAATAAAATATGATGCTTAATGATATGAACTTATTGATGATTCCTACTTGTCTTTCTCGTGATAAATAGTTGGCAAAATCTGATATGTAGCGGGGGAAAAAACAAGAAAGAGTTCATCAGACGCTGGATTCGAACCGAGTTCATGCTCGTACGTGTCAAATCATGATCACATGCGTCTTACGAGTAGCGCCACTGAGACTATTATGCGTCCTGCAACATTTTACAGATATAAACCACACTATTTCTTTTGTTAATGCACTCAGTGCGATGTTCAGACCCAACTGTGTTAACCGCATCAGCTAAACTCTCCCACTCTATTTTTTTCTTTTGTTGTTAATTCCGGAGAACAAACTTGCAAATAACACCGCTTTTCTCCGGTCTACCTCCGAAAGCAGCACCTCCAATTCACATTCTGTTCAAAGTTTCTCTTTTTGCTTGCTTTTGCCATTGCTTTTTCGTCGGGTTTTGCCATTAGCATAGTCATTAGCATATTCATACGGGGGAGGAGGCAGGGAGGGGTTTTGTGCTCGTGCATGTTGCGCTCAGTTTCACGTTCATTCAGATGTACAAAAGAATATGCGTGAGATTTGGCGTACGCAGTGTTTCATACATCTGAATTTTTTTCTGCGTACGCACAAAGCTGTAAATGTGCGTAAGCAAAAAAAAATTCAGATGTATGAAACACTGCGTACGCCGAATCTCACGCATATTCTTTTGTTTAATGTTTTAGTAAGATTTCCACGGAAGTCTTCGTACATGAGGCCCCAGGACTTGGTCAATAGACATACTGCGCACCACGTTATTAAACTCCAATATCTCTAAGGGAGATTATGTTACCCGATAGCCTAAATTATCTTGAGAGATTTTACAAATAAAAGGTATTTTAAAAAGGAACAACATGCAAATAAATAAAACTAATCCCCTGGGGTTCAGCACTTGTCATCTTGTCAATGTGCTGTGTAGTGTGTATAGCGCCCATATGCAGCGTGTGTTGGCAATTCCCAAAAAGTATAATACGCATGCATTTATAAGCTATTTAAAAGCAGGGAAGAGAGGAAACCCCCACCCCCACGGTGATACCAGTATTATCGGTGTTGTCACATGTCGATTAACCGGTGGGAAAATTTCCTCATCGTCACAACTCTACTGTCAAGTGTATTTTTAGACAAAAAATCAAATGTTTTTAATATACTACAACTACAGCAAAACCAAATCAGTGTTGGTGCAAGCATCTGTAGAAAATAAAGACACCGAATGTAGATACTCTCAAAATGTTCATAGCCCTTAATAAAGTCTTAAAAGTAAGATTAGGGATTCAGAACTGACCTTGTGAACCCACTCGTATTCCCCAAATTTTGAGTCAAAGGTTCCCTTCTGTAAGGAGCGGAGTTTAAGTGTGAAGCGAGGTCCTAGTTCTTGTATACCCACTTTCTTTTCATTCTTGAATATATACCTAATGGATGAAGAAGTTTATTTAGTCACGTAGAAACACATTTCACCCAGTTCAAATATTATTAAATGCTAAATATAAGCACATAAACAGAATAATTGGTCACACTTGGCAATGGGGATAATTTAATGTTATTAAATATAACTCAATATAATTCATTAAATCCGAATAAACAATACTTGCACTGCATTCAATGATAGTTTACTAGTGCATTATTAAAGTCCTAATTTAACTTTTTAACATTAGTTAATGCACAGAGTTAACATGATTTAACAACTAACGACAGTACTTTCATTAAATAACTTAAAAAACAAAAAACTATTAATGCTGTAAAAAAGTATTAATAATTTTTTCCTGTATAAAAATATGATAACATGTTAGCTTAAAGTGACAATTCACACCATTTGCTAGAGGCTTATTACCAGCCTATTATTAGGATATTAACTGTGTAATAGCACTCATAAAAGTAAGATTTTATTTTACATCCCTATTACTAGCTAATTCATAAAGCCAACAACAACCTTGCTAACTATTATTAAACAGCTAATTAGTAGTTTATGAAGCTAAAAGTCCCAGCTAATAGTTTGTTAATAGCGCAAATTGTACATTAAGATAAAGAGTGGCCTAAAATACATTAAATAATAGAACCATTACAAATGGCCTGAAAATTATTTAAATGTAAAACAAAATGATTCTTAACATGAGAGTTAAATCTGTTTCTCCACATTAAAACTAAAACTCACAAACCTTGATTTGGAATATTTTAACGTAAAAGATGAATTTCAAATACTATCCAAAATAACATTTACCTGTGAAACCTAAAAAAGATAAAGTCTCTTTGATTGTGAAATGTGGCCACTTGACGGCCCACAAACTGTGGATCATGAGGAAACAGAGCAGCAAAGAGACGGCCAATGGAGTGACCAAGTCTTGTAGTGAAGTTGTTGAGAATGACTTCTGGGGAGTGTTCTGTTGGGTTTTTACCTCTTCTCTAAAGGAAAAAAAAATAAAACAGGGAAGATTAAAGAGAGTTGACCTTTTAGAATGGTACAAAAATGCATATTGAACTCAAACTGAAATCCTAAATTTTAACAAATGCAGCAAACAAGGAGCAATACAATTTCAATCAAATAAAATAAAAAAACACTCACAAAACTAGTGCAATTTTCCCTATAAATTACTCTTAGGCTCAAATTATACAGACAAAACACTTAATTTACTATATTCATTTAATATCACAAAACATTATAAAGAAGGAATAATGTAATTTTGCTGTATGACAAAATATACGTTTTGATCAGTTTGACAGTACTGAACTTTGTGAACAATTAACTAATAAATACACGTCTAATCAAAAATATAATGAAGATGTAACAGACCATACTTCATTTATTTCTCCCTATTTTTTGTCTAATTTCCAACGTATGCAATCACATGCAAATTTATTAAAGGTGCAGTATACAAGTTTAACATCCAATGGTCGAACTAGGTGCTGCACTCCTGGATCAAAACACATGCCTGACTATCCAACTTAAAGGCTGATTTCAGTAATGGTATTAATAAAAGCAACGGGATTTTGATTTTTAATAATAAAACATTTTTGTTCCCATACGGCCTTCTCCTGGATAGCAAGATAAGGAGACGCTCTGAAATTCCTGCTCCCTGTCAAGGACACCTGTTGAACTCTACAGGCTTACACACATACACAGCTACGAATAGGCAATCCCTCCCTGTCCCCTCATCCAACGCCTTCATGTGCTTTCACCCACTGGAGGGGTAGGCGGGTCTGTGACCAGCGCCTCCATGGCTACAGGACCAGACAGGGCTGTGACGCTCACCTTGATAACCACGTCACCGCGGTGGTCAGTTGCCACATCGGTTGTTCATTGCCACCGGCGGTAGTACGCACTTTATGCACTTTACGTAATACACACTTTACATCACGCACTTTAAAACACAAATTACCGTTATGTTGCCAAGGATTACATTTCTGTTAGAATATAACATTAGGCGCGATTCAGCAAGTTCAAGTTCAACCATAAATTTTGTTAGAAAAAAAAAATCTCACATCTGGAAACATTTTGGATTTGTGCCGACCGAGAAAGGTGAACCAATTAATATGGATTATTTTTTAAAGTGTTAAAGTGTATTTTAATATTCACTGCTGAGAGTCCAAACACTAAAGAGCAAATCCATCGATACACAGCTCCACGGGTCCCGAACCATGCAAGCCAGTGGCGATAGACGGCGAGGGAAAAAAGCCACGTAGGCTAGCTAGTCAGCCGGGTATGAAGGAGGCATTTCCAAAAATGGGCAGATACAAAAGAGAAAGTGATAAATGGAAGACATTGACGAGAAATGGAGCAACATAATTGGTAACTTAAGTTAAGGGCGCACGGCTCCGCAGTGTAAAGAAACCTGCTTTCCGAGAAATGCGGGCGGCGGAACAGAAGCAAGAAACCCTCTCTCGCATGGTTGTGAAAAAGTAGCCTATCTGTGCATTTGCGCTACAAGCACACCGTGTGAATGTGTATTGCTGGAAACATTATAACCTCATTCTTCACTTAAACCGGACAAAGTCAACATGTTAGTTTTTCTGGCAAATCATTTAAAATATGAATACAAAAGAAGAGAACCTACACTGTTTTTTATAAACATCTGACTTATTTTGTTTCTAGTAGGCTAATATTTTTTTTACTTATGTTTATTAGTATTTATATTATTACTGATTAGTAAAGTGCCATTTAGGCTATTTGTGAAGATCTTAAAAATGTAACGTTTAATTGTTATTATTATTATACGGTTTCAAGCAGTTAAAGTTATTTAATATTTAACTACAATATTTATAAACAGTATTGTGTTGTTTTATTAACAAAAGGTAAAAAATGAACACATACGTTTATAGAAATGTTTTATTAATTAATATTTAATTAAGTCATAAGTTATTCCTTAAATTTTACATAAAAAGGTAAATTAACTTAGGTCGGATACGTTATTTGTTGGTGGGACGGGAGGAAAAATCACAAGAAAAAACTTGTGAAAAGGACGCAATAAAAAAATGCAAGCTCCTAATCATTCTTCACAATCGCATTCGTACATGCATAAGCCTAGGCTATATTGCGCCGACAAGAACAAGCCCTAAAACAAAGTCTAAAGAGAGAATTAAAATTAGTTAATATATTCTCCACAATGCCTTCACAATGTCGTGATCTTTTCTGAAGAACAGATAATGAATGTTATAGCCCTCTCCCGAGCCAGGTTATCATCTGCTTTTTTTCCTTCTCGCTACAAATAATACAGTATCAGCGTATGATTTCTTTCTGTTTTATTTCAAACAACATAAATGTTTAAAGTTTTGTATTGCATATATATTTTTAAAGATTATCATTCAGCCTGCCTGCAGCGCATATGGGAGGTTGATGCGGCAAATCCCCTTTACTCATGCTACCTATTTTATATGTGACACTGTAAACTTGACTTCGCAGGCTGATCATCTTTAAACTCAAAATATATTTTTAATAATAATGAGTATAATAAATTATAATATTGATTATAGTGTAGTCTACTGTGCAGTGTCCAACAAAACATTTTTATTAGGTTACTCTAATAGATCTGACCCCTAACTGAAAACGAATGTGAAAATGACAGGCAGTTACGTCACTGCAAAAATTTATTTAACAGCCAATTTCTTTTGCGTTTTTTCCCCTTTAGAGGTCAAGAGAGTTGTATTTAAAGAATTATTTAACTAAAACATGAAATGAATGCCCAGTTCTTTCCCGTGTGAGTTTAGTGTGCCTCCGCATGTGCGTTTAAAAGGCTACAGGCGCACCCTGACCTGACGTGGGGACCAGATCTCTGCACTACTGCTTTAATTTCACAATTGTCATAATTTCATTGCATTTTCATATGGTAAAATATCTAAATTTATATTCTGAAAGTAGTAGGAATGACGGGAGTGTTAGTAATTAATGACTTTCACTTTTGAGTAAACTTCTGTCATGTATTATTTTAGTATGATTGATCAACATCAATCTTTTATTATGATAAGACAGTAGAGAGTTCCGACAGGAAAGCATTGGGAGCAGAGAGAGGGGAAGAATCAGCAAAGGACCTAGAGCAGGGAATCGAACTCGGGTCACCACGAAGCTATTGGCACCGACGGCTTCATTGATTCTTAAAGGTTTGTAGGGATATAAATTTATATAATCTATATATAACTGAAAAGTTGTTTTTAGGTTGTGACGAACCTTAAAATGTCTTGGTTTCCTACACCCTGTCTGTCTCCAAAGTAATGTAAATTTTATGTTTTACAGCACAGCTGTGTATATTGTCTTTTCAAGTCTGTCCTCATGAAAAAGAAACCCTTTTGTTAATTAACTTGTGTGGTCAGTAGCTGGGCCGGTACCTAACACCTATATGCCAATTTAACCAGCTGACTCCAAAACTGAATTTGCATGCTTTGTTTAGCCATCTCTCTTCCTCCTAAAAACACAATACAGACATGACATCTCTGTCTCAAATTAGACTTGTGATAAAGCTCGCAGATTGCAGACCTCCAGTAGGCTCCTGCAGACACATGGACTTCTTGAAGACGCTGTATGACTGCAGATTAACCAACCCGTTACAATAAAGGAATTCTGCTTGTTTTCGAGTCTCCTGGACTGGGTTCTCTCTTCTCTTCTTCTTTATCATTTTTTTTTACAACAGGTTGCATTCAGTTGTCGAGATATTATGATCAACAAATGGGTAAATAATAAACCACTTGGCTAAAAGCTTCCTTTCTGCAATATTTCAAAAGTCAGTGAAAACACTACAAATATTTTGCTGAGGGATGCAAACTTCTGTGTTTGACTGAAAAAAACCTTTAATTCCTATAGCACTCTTTACATTATGTTAACGATTTTAGAAAAATGTTATATTGTGTGATAAGGACCAGACCATTGTCTTATAGATTGTTCCAAATTTCCTAGCATTCAAATTCAGAAACAACAACAAAAAATATAACTTACCTTCATTTCTTTGCGAAGGCGAACACTACTGACTTTGAAATGTGCAGTTGGCCCATCGGGAAGGTGACAAAGAACCATACCATCTGTAACACTTTAAGTGATGGAACGTATTTTAGGTAATATATCCCAATACCCCACCAAGTACAAAATACAAACATTTCTTAAGAAGATCTTAACAGTGGTAACATTGATATCTGAGAAAAGGATACTTGGCACTTTTCGGTCTTCATTAATCACCATAAGATACGTGAAACCCCTTGATATACATTGTGGAATGACTTTCTTCAGAGCCAGACCTCTTCTGTAGTACACGTATGCATGTGGGATTACTGTTGCCAATTGATCGCAAAATCTCACCGTCCTCTGAAACCAGGTACACAAATACAATATTAAATACCAATTCTGAAATGCTTATTTAGTAAAAGAATGACATAAAATATGAATGAATAATATAAATGAACTCACTCCTCTGGGCCTGTCTGAAGTGGTGATGAGAACTTTAGGATTTGTAAGCCGATTGAAGTAAGCCGAGAACTCATCAGTTCCTTCATCAAAAGCCACCTGGATTTAAAAAATAAAAAAGGGTTCAATATTGTAAATGAGGTCTAGAGAATCACCAGCAGATTTAACGGGGTTTGAGAAAAAAAATAAATAAATCACCTCCTCATCCTCTGGATTGACTGTAGTTTCATCGTATATTCTCTGGTTTTCTATTGTCTTGGGAACTTCTTTAGGTGGAGCCTGAAAGAGAGAAAACATTAAACACCATAAAGAATATATAAAAGAATATGTAAAGTATAACTATACTACACTAATAACCATACTACTACACAAAAAAAGGATGACAGTCATCTTCTTGCAGTAATGTAAAATATTTCTGATGCAATTAGGGATGCTCATAATAATCGATTTACTGTAAATCCAAAGGGTGAGTTTGTAACCTATTAATGGTATCAGTTAAATGATTAAAAAATATTATTTTATATATATTTTAGTTTGGCTGTATAAGGAGCCGATCGAATGTGCTTTTTGCATTAAGAGGGGTATCTTTTGAATAGTTTACTAACGGTTGCAAGTGTTTTGTACGCGGCTCTACTCAGAGCAGCAGTGTGTGTGTTGTCAAGACAACTTCAGAGAACTTTTAAAAGAGCATGGTTTCCGCTACATTCATTCTTTAATGGCAGGGACCAAAATGCATCCCTTCACGGCTAAATTACAGCATCCCATTGAAAACATTCAGTCATTGTTGTTGTTGTTTTTAATAGCGGATTATAATTGCACCTAAACGTATTAAAAGGTAAGAGAATTATAACAGCACAAACTTTTCTGTAACCATATAGTGCTGTGCATTATTTGTTAAACCCTTAAAGGTTACGTGCTGACTGACTGACAGGTGCATGATGCATGAGGCCAGCAAACACGACAGAGCTTTCAGTTAGGATGAACACAGCTTATAAAATTATACTTTATTTATAGATAAAGGTCTGTGGTTCTGCATATAATGACTTTACCTTGCTGGAGTTTATAGCTGTTTCACTTTACTTTAGGATGCATTAATGCCGCTCTCTAGGTCTATTGGAGAAATTCATAAATATACCTTGCAAATCTAATAATTGTTGGAGACATACTCACTACACAAACGCGCCAAATCGCATTTCAGCAGGTTTTATTTGAGAGCGCATAAGAAGATCTGCGCTTGAGCAGCGTATATTTGAGGGGGCGTGCAAGAGGTTTTGTGCACAAGCAGAACAAATCGGCACCAAGCACACTGCTATTGCACAAAAATACGATCTCAGCTTGTAATACTGCGCGCACATGACATTTCTCCATTTGTCATTGAAATAACACCATGTGTAGTTGGTAGATTTGTGTAAAAGGTCTGCTGCCACAACTGGAAAAAAATCCCAGAGGAAACACTGAAGATGTAGGAGTGATTGCTCGCTGTTTCAAGTTATCCAGAGCTGTATGACTTAACAAATCTTGAATATCACAATATTATTAAATATTACAATTTTAACAACATAGACAGAAACACTGTTGCACAATCCTTACCCAGCTGATTCAGTCGTTTCATAGGGACATAAAAAAAGAGAACCGCTGCTTTTTTCCTACACTTTTTCACTTTTTTTTTGGAATGGAAAAGTGCGTTTGCTGTGATCGGCCCCTTGTTCAACTGCACCACATATTTGTTAACTCGCGGGACGGTAATTTGTAACCACACATGCCTACAGACATATTTGCCAAAGAAGCAAAATGGAAAAAAATATTGCTGTTTGTTACAGACGAGTTGATACCAAACCAGCGCTGATGCTGACTGCCTCCTGGATCTGTGTCATAAACACAACAATAGGCTTTAGCTTTCATTTTACAGATTATAAAGCATGTATGCAAATTAATGCAATATTACATTGAAAGGTTCACAAAGCCCTTCCGTACTTTTTTGGGATTTTAACAGATTTGTGTGTATTGAGCATCAGTTAAGACAACATTAGCACCTGTCAGCTTTAATTGTAGGGTAAACTGGATAATTTGAGCTTTTGTCAGCTAATTTCATCTTCCGGGTTTAAAATGATTTTTGGGGCAGGATCAAAATCGGCAACGAATCGCAAAACTGCAAGTGCAAAGATGATGCGTTGGTCTCTCATTATTACTCATAGCGGAGTTTTCTTATCCTATGAGAAGAGCCGGCTTCTTAATTATTCATGACTGCGCCTGCTTTCCGAAGGCAAAACAGACCTGCCACTGCCAAGCTTTGAGACACGGACCCACGGCACACTGTATTAGCCGTTCATAAAGGGTCGTATGTGTTTGTTTCCATGATCCACAGGGTTTATTGGATGTTTTTCCCCGCAATGCTGTCAGGGTCGAAACAGCAAAGCTGTTTGTGTGCAGCAAGCATTTTTGTTGGGAGAGCAGTAAAAGAATTGGAGAATGACGGGCGTTGTCTTTTATCAGGAGTTTGTTCACATTTAGACACATCGCGGTGCTGCTGTGTTTGCCTAAGTCCTCTAGATTACCAAGAGGGGTAATGGTTAAAATAGGCAGGGCAAGACACCTGCTGCACTGAGTCTGCATTCAGACCTTTGATTCAGACTGGGGATTGTGGGAAAAGTCCTCATTTAAAGTGTTTATATGAACACGATTATCTTTATAATGACATACATTTTGGTTAACAAATGTAGCAGGGCATTAAATTACTGTTTATTTCATTGCATTTTAACTTTGTAAACTATAATATCATGCGTTTTCTCACGGTTTGAGTCTCATTTTTATGAGCCGACTGAAAACAGTTGACCAGTAACCGCTAATATCCGATTAACGAGTGGCGGTTGTCGGTTAGCAAAATTAACCGAAATGAGCATTCCTAGATGCAATTAAGCTGGGCAATTAAAATGATATACAACTGCGAGTAATATTTTGTCCAAATTTATGCCAGAGCTTCTTCTATTAGGAGTTTTAAATGTGAATTTGAAATCTGAACTTCTGATTTCGTGTGAAAATTAGACTTAGGGTGCTTTCACACCAACACTTTTGTTTCGGAACGTATCTCGTTTGCCCAGTTAGCACGGTTCGATTGGCATATGTGAACAGGGCAATCGCGCTCTGTTCCGCGCCAAAGTAATCGCTCCGAGATCGCTTGAATGAGGTGGTCTCAGCTCGATTGAAACGAACCCTGGAGCGGTTCGATTACAGTGAGAAAGCGATCCGATCCGAGCGCGGTTATATCACAGTGTTTTATGGATATGTAATAGGCTTACGGCTATATAAAGAGAGAATTATGAGTAGGGCGGGAAGTTTCGCGAGTCTCCGGATGCCCGCAAATGAGTGATGATCTCCCGGTAATCTCGCGTCTCCCTCCCGGTCCTCAAATAGGCATCGTCGCGCACCCTTCTCACCCCTCCCCACCGCGTCTCTCCTTAGACACGTCGCGCGCGTGCACCTTGTCAATCACCACCAAACCACCACCTCTCCTGACAGCTGAGCGGGACGCTGCAAAATAAACCCTGACACTCTGACCAATGTGAGGAGAGTTCACTCGCACGTGACTTGTTTGATCTCTTTTGGTCCGATTGGAAACTTTGCAGTGTGAAAGCGAACCACTCCAAGAGCAAAGAGCAACAATGTAACATTTATAATCTCTGTTTCGGAACAACTGAATCGATTCACAGGTGTGAAAGCACCCTTAATGTCTTGAATGGCTCTATTTGGAAAGAATAGACCCTTTTCATATATCCAGGTTTCTCAGTAGAGAAGTAATCATAGTTGGGCAAATTTAATGGCAGCTAGAAGAGAAAACAGCATCAAATTTACTGTCCTGCCCCATAGATGCTGCATTAAAAAACACCTCAGATAAGCTTTAATTTGTTTTTTGTTTTTTTGTAATTTGACGCAAAAAAAGATAATACATATATAAATACAAATACATTTATTTTTCTATTTTTTTATCAAAATAATAAAAACGTTTTAGCATTTAAGACACTGATGACCATTAAACGAGTCTTAACAGTTTTGTGAAAAAGTTCCAATCATGATTTCTAGAATGATTGGCTTAATTTTGTAGGAGAGTGCATCTGTAAAATCAAAACAAAGACATAAGTTGAATAAATAGTGCTTTTTGCTTTTCAGATTAGTACAACAGCATTCAGGTACAGAAACTGAATAATCAAACATAACACCATATAGTCTTCTGTATATGAATATAATATTCGTTAAAACTACAAACATTTTTTGCACCCAAATGCTTTAACTTGGAATGTTTAAGCAGTGAATGCATGCAAAAGCTAAACTTTTACTATGTCTCAATTTTACAATTAAATTCACAAAACACATGCATTAAAAACTGTAGTGCCTGCTTGATTATAACCACTGCTTGTCATTGAAAATCTTGTGATGTGACTACTGTAGACTTGCACAACAAGGCAATGATGCAAAACAAAATATTGTTAGTCTATTTATAGCAAGAATTTACTTTTTTTTTTTTTTTTTACAAATCATTTATAATATCTCAAAAACTCACAAAATATATATATTTTTTCATATTAATTGTAAATTAGCTTGACAAATACTGAATAACTGACTGATTTCTGTGCTAAATGTTTACACATAAATTACAGCAGGGCTCTACAGTGCAACCATTTTAGTCATATTTGCGACAAAAACTTGTGTGTGCGCGACCAAGAAAAAAATGTTAAGGCGGATGTATGCGACTGACCTGATCGAAAATTTTAAAAACTACAGCTCCCAAATTCCCTTACATATAAGTGACCCATTATGTTTTGAGCCACAACTATTACTTTGGCTCAACAAACTTAATTATAACTGTCAGATGAGCTCCGCATAAAACTCCTGATGGAGAACAAAAATCCTGATGGAGAACATTTGGGCTGCTGGTGCTTCTCTTCTGAGATTGAATGGGAGAACACAGCTGTATCTCTTCTCAACAGAAGTGAAGCTCAAGGATCAACACATTTCCCTATGCTCGAGATGACATTCATGATCATTAAGGATTAACCAATTGACGTGATCAGTTAAATGATTTAAAATCTTATTTAAGTCATATTAAACATTTTTCCAGCAAGCTATTTTTAACAGGTTTGCAATGAAATGTCAGGGCTCGAAATTTTGACCATTTTGGTCGCATATGCAGCCGAAATTTTATCTATGCGACCTCAAAATACATTTGGGAGCATTTGTGCGAGTGCATAAAATTGTTGCGTGTGACCAGTTTTTACTGCAAAATGTTTAGCACATGCACGGTTTCGGGAGACATTCACGCAGAATGCGTCTTTGCACTTGAAACGCAGTGCTCAGGAATAGTTTAAAACAGTTGTCATGTCAACTTGCTGCAGTAAACAAAGCCAAGCCCATAATGCTTGCCCGCCTTTGCGTTCTTCCTAATGGCCCACTGCTCTAGAATTGAATGCAAATGGATTGGTTAATGTCAGCTGTCAATCACAATCACTCATTCAATGCCTTCTGGCTTGGGATGACAGGGAGAGCTACTACCCCGAAAAATTGTAAAGCGGTGAAGATAAGAATGAAAATAACACTTGACAGATTTTTTTTAAGAAACCATGGCATCTAAAGTTACAAATAATGACAAATCTTTGAATATGAATATGAATGACACATTTTTGAATATGAAACAACACATATCAGGATATAAAGCACTATTTTATCTTTTATCTTTTATTTTTACTTTTATCTTTGTATTTTTATCATTTTATTTTTGTTAATTAAATTTTTTTTTTGTCTTTATATTAAACTAACAAGCTATAGACAAATTCTTGCTTGACGTTTTAGAAAATATTTGCTTAGCTACCCAGTATATATTAAAGGAGTAATCCACTATGATATCATATTTTAAACTTTAGTTGATGTGTAATGTAGCTGTGTGAACATAAACAACATCTCTGAATGTAAAAAGTTTTAAGTTCAATGCAAAGGGAGACCTTGGTTTTTACAGAGTTAGCTTAGCAAAGCCTACAATGAATGAATTTTGGAGACTACAAAAAAATACTTCCGCCCTCTGTGAGATCACACAGGTTCGTTTACTGCGCACCCACACTGCGCAGCTAAGGGCAGTGGCCTGAGGCGCTGTAACATAATAGCAGAGATAAAGCTAAAAATGCGTCTAAACACGGCTGTTTCCACAGAGCTTCGTCTGTTTCTGTATTTGGGCTTCCAAAGGACACAACACAAAGACAGAAGTGCTTACAGTTCAATATTAATTATGTTCCAGAGAACTATAAAATACACAGCAAGCATTATTTGACAAAACAGCTCCAGAATCTCTCCCAGTTCAGTGCTGGATTCGGCTAAAATTTTCTTAAAGCAGAAGCTGTGAACTACAACCTGTAAGTGTTTTTATTTGTTAAAATTGATCATGACATGTTCTGTGTCTAGCGTTAACAGTAAGCTGTGGCAACAATGTAAAAAATGGGAAATGCTGCTTTGCACCGCAAACGATTTAGCTACAAATTCATATTTATCAGTCAAACTGCAGTAAACACACACACACACTCCACCAGCACGTTCGTGTCTCTATGTGTGTGCGCGACTTCTCTATGTGCGTTTCACATCTCAGATAATAAAGTCGCAAAAGATATGTGGATGTTTCATATTACTTACACCTGCATATTCGGGATATATGTAAAAGAGAGAATAAAGAGATTTGGAGAGGGATTATTAAGTAAAGCTGGCATCAGATGATTTAGTTTTGTCTGCATCAGACCTACAGGAAAATATCAGGCTATATTTTAATAAAGTAATATATTCAATAAAAAGCTGATTATTTTACCAACAATGTCAATAAAAGCCTATTGCAGAATTCAAAGAAAAATCTTAATTTTAAAAATGAAAGGACAATATCACAACGAATGCTCAAAGAATGCTTAAACCGCAAGCTTGTTTTTAGTACGATTGTGCCATCTGTCATGTGTAGCCTACCTATAGGTCTGTTATTTTTTACTAAAGAAGATTATTATATTATTTGAGTTTAGCACCAGAGCTGTAAAAACTACTCATTTCGGCTAATTTTGCCAACAGACAACCACCGCTCGTCAACCAAATATTAACCGTTAACAGATTAATATTAAAATAATATTTATTTTTTAAAAAACTACGTGCCTATTTTGTGACGCATTAAATATTGCATTTTAAAATACTAAATTATTTTAGCGTGCAAACAGCATACAGAACAGAGCATATTCACGCACCTGCATTTCAGCAGCAAAACAAAAACAGAATAAATAAAATAAATCCTGGTCTAGATCTTTTTCAATTAAATTACTCATTTATATTGCAAAACGAAAACACTGACTGAATCCTTTTTAAGAACCGGCATATTCTGTTTGTCCAATCATGTTTTTTTCTTTCTTTAAATAAAAATATTAGGGTACCTCAAATAGATCGCTCCACAGAAAATATGCATTTAATTAAGGCTCTGCTGTTAGTTTTAAATGACAAAACCTCTGTAAACATTTTTATTAGAAGTCATTAGTTTAAAGATTATGTCTCAATTATGATTATGACTTATTTCCTGTCTCACTGGCGTTTCACTTGTTCAAGCGCTGCCTGTAATGAAAGACAATGACAATGAACCTTAAGGTTCTATGTTGACTTTTTGTAAAGTATTGGCTACTACATAGCATATAACAATTTTGTTGTTTACATATGATATTGCATTAATTTGCTTACATGTTTTTTAAGCGGTAAAATGAAAGCCTCAGTTTGGTGCAAAGTTCATATGCAAACATCAAGAAAAACTATGGATTTGTTTGATGATAGATTAGGCATGTAGGCTATTTAAAATGTTATATTATTTAAGAACTATTAATTACTGTAATTTTCCAAATGGAAAAAAAGGTTGGTTTGTTGGTTGAACACTAAATCATCGTATTTATTAAGTTTATGACGCGGCACCATGCAGCACAGAGGAGATCAGCATCAGAGTTGGTTTGTCAAACTGTGACCAGAAATATCCTTATTTCATTTTGCTTCTTTGACAACATACATCTAGGCACGTGTGGTTGCACGTCACTGTTCTGCACGCGCTTTTCAATTCCAAAAGCGGGGGCGCACCACACTGATTTATTGATGACAAGAAAAAAAGGAGTTCGGTACTCCTTTTTTATGCCACTAGGAAACGACGGAATCAACTGAGCTGTATTGTGCATGAGTTTTCCTGTCAGTGTTGTTAAAATTGCAATTTTTAATAGCATTATGATATTCAAGCTTAAAGTCATACAGCTTTGAATGACTTGAAACAGTCACAAGTCTCTCCTCCATCACTAAAAGTTCGCCGTAATTTTCTTGACAACACAAACACTGCTTTCACCTCAAAAAAAACCCAGCCCCTGCTTTCATTTGATTGAAGAAAGAAGAAGAGCGACTGAGGTAACACGTTTTTTCCACTCGAGCGCACATAGCGCGCAACAGCAAAACGTTGGTAAACCATTCAGGAGATGCACATGTCAGTCTCAATGCAAAAAGCATGTTTGCTGTGATTGGCCCCTTATGCAGCCAAACTTTGAAAACATAAAAAAAAACAATATTTTTAATTGTTTAACTGGTACCATTAATCGGATACAAACGCAATGGTTAATCGGTTATTTTAAGCATCCTTACTTGCATCCCTACTGCGCACAGTATCTGGATCGGTTACAAAAAATGGTATGGGTGCATTCCTAATAAGTATGATTTATTTCTCTTTTGGGAAACGATTTACACATTTTATTCAATGTGTAAAAGCTTAAAGATTTATTTTGATTTGAGAATTTTTTCTGCATGTCTTTTTTTATCTTCATTTTATTATAAAACATTTAAATGTTTAAAATCTGAATTGCCTTAATAAACTATTCCATGTTAACACTCAAAGGCTTTATTGTAATTTTTTTCTCAATGAACAGACAATTTACTTAACTAATAACACAAAACATAAAGCATGTATAGCTCTGGGCTCAGAAGGTTCTCAAAATATAATTTTATCCTACATATTTCAAAGGAAAACAAAGGTTTAGGTTTAGGCTGGTTGTTAAATGCACAGCTTCTCTATAAAAAGGTGAAAAAACACCTGCAAATTCTGACAAGGATCAAACCTTAGGCAGGTAAGGAAAAGTAAGGTGACACGTTACTTTCCATAAAAAGTAACTAATTAACATACTTACTTTTTATGGGGAGTAACTTATATTGTAAAGCACTACATTCAAACGTAACGTTCCCCAACACTGTTTACAACTAAAGACATATACCATACATACCTTATCACCAAGAGCTTTTCTTTCTTTTTTCTTTTTTTTCTTCAGTTCCATTCTTTTCTGAAAGACATAAATGACAGCTTTACAAACATAACATGATCTGAAAAATGTTTGACAAGTGACAGAGCTGTGAACTTTGATGTTTTAAAGCTGTGTCAACCCTAGGTGAGCTACTAAGTTATACGTACAAAAAAGTAGTGTTTGGTCTTGAGCATAGAGGTGAGCATTTCTTCCCATATAATATTGAGGTAATGTATGTATTTAATCACATATTCGAACTTTCTCTTTGACAATATAATTTCTGAAAAGTATTATTTGCAAATTATAAATAGTTAAATCATATTAGCAGCCAATGAATAACAAAATAAAACATTCTTTATAGTGCTAATGTTGTTTTGAAGTCACTAGTGGTTTTATAGTCACACATTCATTCAGTGACAACTTGTGACAAGTTCCTTATATTGTTCATAGTGCTAATGTTTCGAAGGCATATTTACATGTGATTTCTGACCGAATATTCAAAGTAACGTTAACGTTACCATGGTAAACAGCATAGGGAAAATGTTCAACTGCCGAATAGTCAAGTGTCTTGCAAGTTAGCTAGAATTTAAAACACAGCCAATATGTAGGTTATCACCTTTCTTTTCTCCTCTTTGAGTTTAAGGAACATCGTATGTCTGCGCTGCTTATTTTTGATCTCAGACACGCTGAAAGTGGGAGGAAAACACGGTCCTGAAGCTGACTTTTCTTCTTTTACTTCACACTCCGCCTGGTCCATCTCTTCCACTGGCGCTTTAACGGCTTTCATCGTTCGCTTTAGTTTTTTTGTTTTGCTCTTTTTTTTAGAAACATGTCCCGAAGATGTTGAATCTGTACAATCCATTTTCAGCTGCCACTGTCTTCACACACATGTGACAGAATCTTCACTTCCGGTACAAATGGGGATTCTTCTTTGATGTTTAACGGAGGTTGTCATCAAACTTGGTGTACTACCGCCCTCTTCTGTACTGGAGTCGGAGTGCGGACCAGATTCTATATGGGGCGTCTGCAGACTTGGATCCAGGCAGTTTTACCCTAAAATCACGCATATGGGGCGTCTGCAGACTTAAATCCAGGCAGTTTTACGACGAAGGCAGTTTTACGTCCACAGCTTTACGCCCCTGTTGTTCCTAATGCGTTCAGTAGAGGGGATGAAAGATACATGACCACATAATACATTTGAAGTCAACGCTCCCAGATTATAAAATGTCCTGTTAATAAATATATATAATTTTAATTAGATTACGCTAAATATGAACGCTAGATTATGTATCATAAAATGAGTTACAAACTCACTATAAAATATGCAGAATTGATACACTCACCAAATAATTCCAGATTTGCAAAAGCTATTGCAAATTAATTTAGATTAATTTAATTAAAAAAAATTAAAAACACAAGTTGTTGGATACTGTAATGGTTAATTGTAGCCTAGCTATACGTTTTCATATAGAGATATGCATTTGTTGTATTGTTTATATTTAAATTTGCATTTTGAAAATAACAAAATGATAACCAAACAATATAGTGTAATATGGAGTAATGATATGCTTTGATAAGAATGCAGAGGTATTGTTACAATAAATATTATGAAAAAATAAGGGATAAACAATATGATTGCATGTGCAATGCAAACTTCATTGGTAATATATAAAATGTACTGTATCGCTATATGAACAAAAATGAGTAGACCATTTATAATTGTGAGTTTCTATATGCATTTATAGATATATGAGTTTAATTGTTTAAACTAGAACAGGATTGTATTATATTGATTGTAATTGAAAGCAATGCAATTTTAAAATTTAAAATAAAATCAAATAAATTTTCAGATCTGTTTAGATTTATTTCAATATTTAAGAAAGTCAAATTTGGAGGAATAATGTAGTGTAGTTGAAGTGTAGATTTGGCTGACAACCCAGACCATGCAAGTGTATTGTCTAATCTATGAGAAAATATATATTTTTAAATAATTATAAAATATATAATAATTACTTCCTTGCTGAGACAAAAAAGTAAAAGAAAATTAGCCTACATAACACACTTTCTTATGTAGGTTAATGTTCTTTTACTCTTTTGTTGATGTAGAACATGTAGCTGGCCTGCACATTAGCTAAAATTGAGTCAAACTAACACACTGCTGTTATACTACACCAATTTGTTTGTGTTGACATACACTCATATCGACCTTAATCTAATAAAAAAAATAGGTTTAAGTTTTATGTTTGCTAATGTTTTAAACACGTATTTAACATAGATACCTCCTCATGGTGTCGCGTTTGGTTGGGTGTGATAAAGTTCTGGAGGCTTAAAATAATACTGTACTGCCTCCCTCTACTGGACACAACAGGAACAACAGGGGCGTAAAACTGCCTGGGCCGTAAAACTGCTTAGGCCGTAGATCTGTCTGGATCAGTAATAGGAGTTACTCTATGTTTGGTTTATAGTCCAAGATAATCCTCTCTGTTTGGTAGTTTATCAAAAATTGAGTGTTGCGACAGTTTTGTAAATAGTCTCTGCCAACAAGGCGGGCTATTTACACTTAGTGCAAATAGCCACTCCATATTAATTTTGTTTATAAGTATTCACTAAAAAGCAAATTTAACTAGGATTGAACATGGTTTTATTCATAACCGAGCAGGTTTCATTTAACAGCTAAAATGGTCTAAAAGCAAGATGTAATTTGCACTCAGATCAGTCAGATGTCAAAAACTGATAAATGTCCTCAAGAAAAATGCAATAGAAACTTCCAACTTTGGATAAGAGATGCAGGGCAATAAAAAAAACAGGCTGAGAAAATAATATTTGAGAATTTCATTTAATAGAGTTTGTTGGTAAACCAAGAATGAGGACCTGTTTATTTTTACATTACCTTTTGTCCAAAAAACTGCAGTTATTTGGAGTCTTCATGCAGACATACAAACAAGGTGCAGACTTCATCTTATTAATACTCTAAAACTGAACTGCTAACTTAAAGACATTTTTGCAAGTTTTATGTTGAAAGTGAGTTTAGAAGATCAAGCACCATAAGTCAAAGCCATGATAGGGAGGAAAGACACCTTTCAGGGTAAATGTTAGACTTATAATGATCTCCAGAAAAACTACCACATATCAGAAGATAAATTCTTTTGACAGTAGTATTAACAAAAATTGTGGGTCCCTGCATTTCTATTTTTTGACCATTTTAGCAGCAAATTAATCTTGAATGCACAAATATGCAAGGCAATTTTACTACCTTTTAAACAAAATTCATCACTTAATAATGATAATAAGCTAAAATAATAGTCGTAATGAAAATGTATGTATTTTGAAATTGGTAAAAACAATTTTTTAGAATTTCGTCTTGGGAATTATAATTATGTCTGCACTATATCATTATTTTTAGGCTATAAATTTCTAATTGTATTGTGGCCGTAAGGGTTTTTATGTTGTGTTGCTTTGAGCTGTTTATTTTACATGCTATAGTGCACTGAATACATCTCCAGCATTAGGCCTGAATAAACGATTCAAGTGACGATGGCTTATGTTTTGATCCTTTTGATAAAGTATTTTGTTTGAAATGGTCAAGGAAAAAAATACAAACAAAAAGTCTGCGTCTCTCTGTGTCGTTCAGGCTGCACTGCAGTGTCTATTCACAGGCGCGATCCCACTACTGATCGGCACGGGGGCTTTGACCTGCTCCGTCTCCGACCTGGGCCGATTCACCCCTCCTTAGACGACCTGGTGGTCCCAAGCTCCCCCGGGAGCACCATATCGATACCGAACTTAGTGTGGACACCCGCTCGACATAGTCCACTGTAGCCCAGAAGCCCTGAGCTCAAGCGATCCGCAGACTCAGCCTCCCAGTAGCTTGGATTACAGGTTCACGCCATTGAACCCGGCGAGAGCTGAGAGAATCAGAGCTGTGGAGAATCTGATCATCACAGCGACCTCTAGTGGAGGAAAACTGAATGCTACTGTTATGCTTATAGTCCAAGATAATCCTCTCTTTGATAGTTTATCAAAAGTTAAGTGGTAAATAAATTAGTCGTTATATCAAACAGATTAAACAATAAGCATAACACACTAAATCAAGTGATTAAACAACCGCTTAAACTCTCTCAATTTCCATCAGATAAATACTATTGAATATTGTTTGATGATGTTCACTCATTTAAGGACACATATTCACTAAACAATGATTAATTTTGCATTTGAATAAAGGTTTGAAAATGATTATGTAAAATAGCCTAATGATATGTACTTTACATTTTTGAAACACTGTAATTAAAAACATTGTTTTATATTTAACAGACAAAGAATAAAGGACATAATACATTTTATTATAATAAAACACAGTGTATGCATAATTATTAAGCCCATTTTATGATCATAATTACTCTTGTATTTGATTAGTTTTATCAATTACAATTTCATAATAACTAGGCTATTATTAATTTTGTTTCTAAGGATTCACTAAAAAGCAATTTTAACTTTTAAACTAGGATTGAACATGGTTTTATTCATAACCGAGCAGGTTTCATTTAACAGCTAAAATGGTCTATAAGCAAGATGTAATTTGCACTCAGATGTCAAAAACTGATAAATGTCCACAAGAAAGATGCAATGGAAACTTTAAAGTTTGGATAAGAGATGCAGGGCAATTTAATAAAAACAACAATAACAAAAAAAAAAAAAAACAGGCTGTGAAAAAATTATTTGATAATTTAATTTAATAAAGTTTGTTAAACCAAAAAATAAACTACAACATGTTTATTTCTACAGTACTACCTTTTGTCTCCATGCAGACATACAAGGTGCAAACTGCATCTAATTAATACTCTAAAACTGAACTGCTATAACTTAAAGACAATTTTTCAAAAGTTTTATAGACAGATAGTTTAAGAGTGAGTTTTAGAAGATCCAGTACCATCTCAAGTCAAAGCCATGATATAGGAAAGACACCTTTCAGGGTAAACGTTAGACTTATAATGATCTCCCAAAGCTACTGCCATATATCAGAAGATAGATTCTTTTGACAGTAGTAAAAATGTGGGTCCCTCCATTTCCATTTTTGGACCATTTTACTAGCAAATGAACCTTGCATGCACAAATATGCAAGGCAATTTTTACTTCCTTTTAAACAAAATATGCTTGATTATTGACATGCTTTTACAACCCGATCCTGATAGAAACTGACAAACGTGAGAGTGAAGCGCGAAAAAACAAAGGAGAAGCTGGAAAAAAGGAGCACATTATTTTTTCAGCAAACTTAACCAAACTGCCATGTTTAACTATTATCATCACCTTCTGGACTATTATGAACTTAGAAATATGGAATGACTCTCTAAAAGAGGCTACATGTGCTGCTGAAGATTAAAGACACAGATGAGAGGTTTACACTGACTGTATTTTGTGTTATTTTTTAACCTAAATAAGGACTAAATGTTTGCTGTGTATAGTTCTTCTGTAGGTTGTAACATATTGTAGACTGCAAGGGTCTGTATATGTTCATATATGTTGCATTTATTTATTTGTTTTTATTCTTTTATTTAAGCCTGATAAAGGTGACCCGTACCGACCCGAACCATATATACCTTACTGTACCCGTCAGTGGAAACGAGCCATTAGACAACCTGGTGGTCCCAAACTTTTAATAGGCTACCAGTGTTTTATTTTATTGTAAAGCACTTTGGATCACCTACAGTTGTGTAAAATTGTGCTTTATAAATAAAGTTTGCCTTGACTTGCCTTGCCTGTATACAAAGTTTCATAAAATATTCACCCTGGTCAGAGTTTTCAGAAGGCTTTGGATTTATTCTTCCATGTTCATGTGGACAGGGTCTTAAAAGGGAACATTCATGTATAAAGGGTAATACTAATGATCAAAGTGGGAACAGCTAGCTATCACCAGACAG